CAGTTATACCAACTGTAATTTACGATTTGATTAAACCTGTTCTATCTATCTATCTAATTTATAATTTAGTATATAATTGCGTCCTAAATCATAAGGTCTCTATTATTTCTTTGCTGACGCCATCTCAGTATAATTGCGTTGACTGAAACCTGGTTGAATGACTCAATTTCAAATCATGAAATTATACCGAGCGGATACCAAATTATTCGAAGAGATAGAGAAAACGATAAGCGTGGCGGTGGTGTATTATTAGCCGTGAAATTACAACTGAACCATTCCAATATAACTCTGGCTCTCTATTAAACTAACAAGTGTCGTGATCAAATTATCCTCAAAACTGCTGCTTGTTGCAGTATGTTATCAACCTCCGAATGCTGGCTTAGAATTTGTACATCATTTGAACACATTTGTGCATTTTGCCAAGGAATCGAAATTTAATTTAATGATATTATTATCCATCTATCCGGTGGTTGGACGGGTCTGGGTTTCCTGACTTATAGTTCGAAACGGCATTTACTGGCATTTTACTTCAGGGTGGACTTTTCCAACTAGTAAATTCACCAACCAGAGGACAAAACATCATCGACTTAATCCTGAGTACTGACGAGAATCTGATCGATAACATCGACATTACTGATGACGAAGCTGTTTCGTTACCATCCGATCACAAAGCTATCACATTTGACATCAATATCAACAGAAAGTCAAAGCTGACAGCGAACCGACTCTCGTACAATTACAGTAAGGGAGACTTCAAATCTCTCCGAGAAACCCTATCATTTTTATCTTTAACGGATATTGTTGAGGGTGAGAATAACATCGATATAGCGTGGTTGAAATAGAAAGACACTTTCGCTCACACTCTCGCTGCAGTTGATACCCACATCCCTAAGCAACAAGTACGATGATCATACCCCCCCCCTCCCATACATCACAAGCGACATTATTCATGCCCTGCATAAAAAAGACACGTTGACAAAACGAGCAAAAAATCTACCTCGTTCTTTGGGAAAAATTTCGTGATCAACGTAGGGACATTAAACGTATGATTAAATTGAAGAAACGAGAGTACACGCAAAACCTAGCAAAAACGGTAAAGTCCAATAATAAAGAGTTTTGGAAATTCTTTAAAATCAAATCCGGAAAGTCGACTCGCCTCACCCAAACACATGAACATGACTGGCGAAAAATACAATTCTTCGTCAGCGAAAGCTGGCACTTTTAACAAGTACATTCATGCGTCCGTATTTCTTCCTATACTCTCCACTCCTCTGTGTTTTACTTCCGTATCAGTACTGGACCAACTTGATACGATTACTGTGACAGTCGAAGAATTTAATGCGTTGTTATCAAACCTATCACCACCAAAACAAAGGCTGCAGGTCCAGATGGAATTTCAGCCAGACTTTTGAAAAGAGTGTCCAGGTGTGCTTGCTCCCTCTCTAACACTAGCATTATTTAACATGTCGTTATCTCTCGGTAGCTATTTGTAGCTATTTACACCAGGGATGTCTTGAATGCGAGAGAGATGTCTCAATTTGTCCCTAAAGATATTGAAGCGGTTTGTCTCGAGATAGTTAAATATAAAACTAAACCAATCTTATAGTTACATGTATTTACCGCCCTCCTAATTCCAAGGCCGACTTTATGGATGCTTATTTCAGTTAGAAAACTATTTCCATTTACTAGACGAACAAGATAAAGAACTAATCATTACAGGTGACTTAAACTGTGACCTCTCTCTCGTAGACTTATGGACATCCTTGAGTTATTTCAAATGAAACAACTGATTGTAGATCCCACGCGCACAACAGGCAACACAGAATCGTTAATTGACATAATGGCAACTTTAAGGCCTGGTTTAGACGGCGAACTTTTCATGCGCCGAATCTAATGCAAGGATTAAGTGCGACGCTGGAGCGGCGTCTAAATCAATTAAGTTCGGCAGGTTTTGATTAAGTTCGACACGACTCGAAGATGCGACAGGACAAGTCGTATATGCGACACAGGTTCGACATTGATTTAGACGCCGTACTTTTCATGCGCCGAACCTAATGCATAATTATTTTTTAACATCATAATATGATTATCATATATTTGCATTGTAAATATTTCCAATATAGTGTCCTCGCAATTTGGTACGGTGCAATTAAGTTCGACGTCTAAATCAGTTTCCGATATTTTGCCGTATCTACGACAATTAGATTCGGCGCATGAAAAGTTCGCCGTCTAAACCGGCCTTAACCGCCCTGATAAAGTAAAAGAAAGCAGCGTGATTGAAATAGGTATTAGCGATCACAGTCTTGTGGTGTATTCATGTCTGAAAATATCAGTACCTCGAGAAAACCGAAGATCGTTGAAAGCAGAAATCTAAAAAACTATGATGTTAATTTAGTTAAAACTGCTTCAATCGCCATCTTTCTCAGTTACTCAGGTACTCGGCTTGGGATCAGAAAGATCCAGACTTGTTATGGGATCAGTTCAAACACATATTCAATAAATAGTTTATCAGATATTTACGCTCCAGTTAAAACTCGAAAGGTAAGAAGTACTTATGCTCCATGGTTAACAACTGACATTAGATGTGAGATGAACACGCGAGATTATCTGAAAAAGAAAACAGTTAAAAACAACTCTAAAAGCCTTCACCAGGCATATAAAGTAAAACGAAATGAAGTGAACAAAATTAATTAATTAAATCTGCAAAAGCCCATGCAGTACTGTAGGATAATATTCAACTAAATAAAGACAATCCTAAAGAGATGTGGAAAAATATTGACCATGCAGGTCATCAACGGAAAAGGTTGGTGGTCTAAAACCACCACCATTACCACAATTAAAGATGATCTGGGTGATATTATCCAAGATGAAAAATTAATAGCTGACCAACTCAACAAATACTTTGTTGAAATTGGACCAAAATTGTCAAGTCAATTGTCTAACAATAGTAGAAACTTTTCTGAGTATAAATCATTTGAATTCGGTCTCCCAAGGAGAGGTGTTATAAATATACAGACAGCTTGTCTGCTATAAGCAATTATACACTTCAATCCATTGCCAAAAGCCAAACTGAGCATTTTTAAATTAATTGATCATTTTCCGTAATTTGGAGATAAAAAGATATTCGCTACGACGTATGTTTTTTGTTGTTTTTTTCCTTAATATAACTTAGATATTTCGTTATCTTAATTCTTGATACCATTGTAATAAACCACAAAACGATCCTTGACCTTGTAGGACCTAGTTAACATCTACGCTTCTCACGAATCACGAAAATAAATTAATGTTTACGAATTTTAAATGTAACAACGACGTGAAATAGGGGGTGTTTGTGCCACAACGGCAAGTGCCTTTTATTTGTACATTCCTGTACCTCTGATGTAAGTGAGAGTTCTTTCAGAGTCCCTGACTCAACCAAACACAATGGACCTCCAAATTCACTACTGATAGAGCTATGCAGTATCAGAACTATAAAGTTAGTTTAGTTTTCATTTTCTACTAGTACTGTTGTAATACTGAACCACTATCGGTGAGAAAAGCAGTTTAGCACTGAAAGAGCTAACTACCCATTATCAACTTCGATATTAAACTTGAACTGACTTTCAGTAAACTTGAAACTTTAAGTTAGTTTAGGTTTCCTCACGTTCACTTATAATATATACTATGTTTGTTGGTCGAGCAGAATCGTAAAAGGTTGAGTTTCAAGTCGCAGAATCGTAAGCAGTGGCTTAGTTTATGGGCGACCGCTCCTTCCCCCTCCCCTTACCCCCCCCCCCAATCGCCACAAAAACCATCCTAAGTGCAACATTCCGATCAAAATGAAATTGAGTTTTTTCCTTCCAGCATCACAGAGGGTAAGCAGTGGCTTAGTTTATGGGCGACCGCTCCTTCCCCCTCCCCTTACCCCCCCCCCCAATCGCCACAAAAACCATCCTAAGTGCAACATTCCGATCAAAATGAAATTGAGTTTTTTCCTTCCAGCATCACAGAGGGGGGAATAAGGTGATACGGACCCCTCCTCCAGTTTTCCAAGATGACTTTTCCAATTATTTATTTCCGAAAACAAATGTCTGGGAAAAGGTACGTTTTTGAGATCATAAAAAATCATGTCTTTGATTTCTTTGTAATCATTGGAATTCTCCAAAATGTCACTCCAAACTGCTTGAAATCGCATTTCAGGGACCCAGATTTCAAACTTTTTCCGGGGGAACATACCCGAACATGAGCCATGCTTTTGGTTTTCGCTTCGCCCCTCCAAAAATGTGGCCCTGGCTACGCCACTGAATTAAAAAGGGCACGGGAAAAAACTGTTCTTGGACTCATAATTGATGACCAATAAAAATGGAACAGGCACAATGATGAACAGTGTAAAAAGTCTCAAAAAGCATAAACCTTTTACGAAAAGCTAAAGACTTTGCTTCACAAGAAGAATTAGTCACAATTTATAACTCATTATAGTCTTACCACATTTTAACTATTGCTCTACCTTTTGGCATGATAATAACAAATCTCATATAGATAAATTATGGAAATTACAAAAGAGAGCTGCACGGGTTATAACTAGTTCTGACTGCACTATTAGATCATCCAAGTTTTCTTCAATGGCATCCAATAAAATATCTCATGGACAAACGAGATCTAACAATGATGTTCAAAGTTCTAAAAAACATGGCACCTCAGAATTACTTAACAATAATGTTTCGTAAATGTGACCATTCTAATTATTCATTACGGAGCAACAATTTAAAATTGAGCCTTCCTAAGCCAAAAACAGATTTTCTGAAAAGAAGATTCTCCCACCGTGGGGCTGTCGCGTGGAATAGTCTACCTTCTGAACTCTGACTAGCGCTCGTCGAGGGCAGACATGTGTCTTTGAGCTCGTCAGAAATCAAGGCTTTGGGCGAGTCTACTCCTTAAAATCGTTTTTTTTATATATTATTTTCATTTGCTTGATCATTTGAAGTTATTTCTCTTGAGTTTTATATTGATTAAGCTGTAAAATGTCCCGTACAACGAGGGCAAATCAGTCGTGCGTATCTGGGATAGGAGACGAGCTTCAAAAGTATTTTGAATCTCCTGGTTTCATTGCCACTATGAAGAAAGTGGTTGTTGATGTTTTAAAGGAAGAATCTTTTCAACAAATGATAAAGGATGCTGTCGATAGTGCGGTGTCGAAAGCTGTTGGGAATCTAAACAATAAATTGGTCGAAGTGGATTCGCTAGCTCAGCGATTAAATACTATGGAGGAAATTGTACGTGGCTTTGAATCAAAGCTATTGTTGGTACAAAATGCTTCAGAGTCTGCTTTACTGAAAGCAAACGACAACGAACAGTATTCGAGAAAATATAACCTTCGATTTGTGGGTATCGAAGAGAAGACGGGTGAAAATTGTGTTGATTTGATCGTGACATTTTGCAACGAAAAATTGGGAGTGGCTGTCAATGTAAAAGATATTGATCGAGCGCACCGTATCGGAACGAAGAATGCTGGAAAGCCGAGGGCCATAATCGTGAAATTCAAGGATTATAACTCAAAAATGATAGTTTGTTAGCAAAGAAAGGATCTTAAAGGAAGTAAATTTTATATTAATGAGGACCTAACCAAAATCAATATGAAACTGTTTTATGTCGGACCTAATAATGTAAGTCAAATTAAATCTATTTGGCCCTCCGATGGAAAGCTTTTGGCCCGTGGTGAAGATGACAAAATCGTAAGAATTAGGAGTGCAAAGGACTTTGAATATTTTAATTAACTGTGTGTTATTTAGTAGAGGCCCTTAGCTATATGCCTTATTTCTGAAATATTGACAATGCATGTATTAAAATTTAGTTAAGAACATCTCCTTGTAATTTGCGCGATTTTCTGCTCTTTAGAATTTAAAGCAGCTTCTTAAACAGTTTGTTTATGCTTAAAATTTTCTTATGTCAATCATTTATGCACTCGTGGGAACCAACAAAGTGCTAAGGCATTCAAATTCTAACAATCAAATTGTTATTGGTGATTTCAATAGTTTTCGTTTTTTTTGGGACACCCTGTATATTTCACAATTTTGTCTTTTGTTTATGCTTACTCTATTCTATAATTTTTCATTCTACAAGGATTACTTTATTCCACAATTCTGTCCCTTGTTTTTTTATGCTTTGTTTGTTAGTTTATGTAATGTATTTGTTTTTGTCTTTCTAAAGCAGCAGCAGGTGAGCAGTCCCAATTGGTTATGGTTGTTTATAGATGGGGGTCAGTTTAGAAGTATACAGAGCAGCAGTCGGCTTATTTAATTGTCACTTTTCTATGGTTTCAACGACTAAATATGCATTTGCATCTCCATTGATTATGTTTGGATGCTTTTACTGTCTAATATTGTTAGTTCTTTTCTTTTTATTATGTACAGATGTTGAGTCTAATCCAGGGCCATATCAAAATATAAATTTAAAGCTTGCTCATCTCAATGTTCGTAGCTTAAATTCCGCGGTGAGTAAATTTGAAGAGATCGCTTCCATTATCTTCTATCAAAAGTACGATATTTTTGCTTTATCTGAGACGTGGCTGAATGACTCTATCCCGTGTAGTTTGTTTACTATTTCGGGGTATTGTCCTCTTATTCGTTTCAGGATAGATCTCATCAGATTGAGCAGGAGGGGTGGCTGTTTACGTAACGTCTGCTATCCCAATCAAACGTAGGAATGACTTAGAATCATCTGATTTTGAACTGTTATGGATAGAGTTAAAAATTGGCTCGAATAACTTGTTTTGTGGAATATGTTATAGACCACCAGGTGGTGAATCTGATGCTAATACTAGTTTCTTACAAAATTTGCAAACTTGTCTGGATAAAATTAACACTAAACCTGACTCACTTGTAATTTTAATCGGTGATTTTAATGCTCATTATGACCCTTCCAATATGTCTGATTCAAGTGATTTTGGATGCCTTTTGTATCGTTGGATGCAGTGTAATAATTTATTTCAAGTAATCAATGAACCGACACGAATTACACAAAATGGTGCTACTATTTTAGATCTTGTTATAACCAACTGCCCAGGATTTTTTGTTCAAAGTGGAACTCTGAGTCCCCCAACCAATTGCGATCATTCTTTGATCAGTTTTGCCAAAATGTGCATATCGTTCTCAAAGCAGAAGTGCTACAAACGCCTTATTTGGAATTTTCATAATGTTAATGAAACTGCTTTGTGTAATTCTTTATTAGCGGTAGACTGGGAAAGTCTGAAAGATGAAGTTATAAATTTTGCCTATGAAAAATGGTATAGTTGTTTTCGAGGTATAATTGAGTCTGATATTCCTCATAAAGCTGTCACAATACGTCCTCGTGATAAATGTTAGGCGAGCAATTCGTAAGAGAAACAGGTTACTGAAAATTCATTGTAAAACGAGATCAACAGCTTCCTGGGAAAAATACAGGCAGCAAAGAAATTATACAACAACTCTTATTCGTTCAAATAAACAAATGTACAATAAAAAGCTGAACGCCAGACTTCAAGATCCTTTAATTAGTAGTAAAAACTGGTGGGGTATCGTAAAGTCTCTTTATGGGGCAAAGATTCAAACGTCAATCCCAACTTTAGTTGATGGTGTAAAATTTATTAGTGATGCTAAAGAAAAGGCCGAACTCTTTAATGAATAATTTTGCACTCAGTGTAATGTGGGTGATAGTTGTGCCTCTCTTCCAACTAATAACGTCCAAGCTACTGCTACTTTATCACTTATCCAAACATCAGAAGAAGAGGTCAATAATCTCTTGAAAAATGTGGATGTTGGTAAAGCTTGTGGCTTTGATGATATCGAGAACAACATATTAAAGTTATGTGCTAATGGTATATCTAATTCATTTACTAGCTTTGTTAATCTCTCTTCTTCATCTGGAAAATATCCAGACAAATGGAAACTAGCTAATGTTATCCCAATTTTAAAAAGGATGATCGTCAGTCGAAGCTCAACTATCGTCCGATTTCTTTACTAGTCTCTTTGCCAAAATTGTTGAAATATAATTTTCTACTAGAAATTGGTTTTCTAAACCCACTGCAGTCCGGTTTTCGACCGGGTGATTCCACTGTGAATCAATTAATGTACATTGTGCATACGATTTATCACGCACTTGAACAAGGAAAAGAAGTTCGGATGGTATTTCTCGACATCAGCAAGGCTTTTGATAAAGTATGGCACAAAGGGCTTTTATACAAACTTGAAGAAATTGGTATTCAGGATCCACTGCTAAGTTGGCTTAAAAGTTATTTATCAAATCGAAAACAACGAGTTGTGATTGAAGGCCAGTCTTCTAAGTGGGAAAGTATAAAAGCGGGTGTTCCCCAGGGTTCTGCCCTTGGCCCTTTGCTATTTTTGATGTACTATTTAAAAAACGAGCAGGAGTGTTTTATTAGGTTTAAAGCCACGAGCGCGCAGCGCGAGTGGCTTTAGACCTAATAAAACACGACCTGTGAGTTTTTTAAATGGCTTTAAAAACGTTTGCATAATAAGTCAAATCTTTATATAAAAATCTTTATATAGTTTGCATAACAATGGTCTTTTGTTAAAGTGTTCTTTAGCTGCTATAAAGACGTATGCACGTGACTAATTTCTTACTCAAGATTGGATAATTGCTTCATAAATTATTGATGAGTTTTTGAAATATATCAATGACATAACTAAAAATCTTCAGTCAGACTGTTTTTTGTACGCGGATGACACGTCAATCCTTGATATTGTGGATGCACCTAATATGTCCTCGATAAAGTTGAATAATGATCTTACTTCAATTAAGGATTGGGCATCCCAATGGTTAGTTACAATTAATCCAACTAAGACCAAATCGATTATTTTTTCAACCAAAAGGATTAAGCCATATCATCCTGATTTATTTTACGAAGGTAAAAAAATTGCTATGGTTTCACAGCATACCCACTTCGGCGTCACACTATCTAGTACCTTATCATGGAAAGCTCATATTTGGAAAGTATATGAAAAGGCATGCCAGAGGTTAAATATGCTTAAAGGATTAAAATATAAATTAAATAGGGAAACTTTAAACACATTATATAAATCTCTTGTTCGTCCCGTGATGAAATATGCTGATGTATTGTGGGACGGTTGCATGGATGGTGAGAGCGATCTTCTCGAATTTGTCCAATATGAATCTGCTAAAGTCGTAACAGGTGCGATGAAGGGCACCAGTAGAAATTATTTAATGAAAGAAACAGGCTGGGAAGATATGAAGCTTAGACGTTGTATACATAAATTAATTTTTTATTTTAAGATCGTTAACAAATTTGTTCCAAATTATTTAAAAGAATTATTGCCTAGTCAGGTGCTCGAGGGAACTCATTATTCTGTGGGATCGCAATCTGATTTTACACTGTTTCCAGTGCGCACTGAGCGTTTTAAAAAGTGTTTTTTTTCCATCTGCTACCAAACTGGGGTCAAATAGGGTCAATAGGTTAGGTTTACGCTTGAGCGAGCTCCGCTTAAATATAAAAATTTTCAGTTAATTTCTCAGCTATTATATTAAGCTTTATATTTAATTAAAGCTAAGAATTTTGTGCATCCTCTCATCGTATTTTGAAATTGGATTTGTATCGTGGTGTAAAGTTATTTTGGTTTGTTGGATCGTATTGCTATCGTATTATTATAGCGCTACAACTGTGAATTTTGGTTAATGAACAATAACTTTGTCGTCGTTTGTCGTTTTCGTCCGAATCTTGCTGTGTGATCTACGAATCGTTTTGTGGTTATTTTGTTTAATTTTGGTGTTATTTAAACGTCGTACGCGTGTTCATGAATTATTCAACATTAATTGTTTTTGACCGTTGGAACTTTTGAAATTTGAATCCCGTCTGGCGTCGCTCTCCATAGCAATAAAATGCTCAATAAAGTTTTTGGATATCTCTTTTTTCTCATTTTAACTTTCTGGTTATCAATAAGATCAAAACCATCATAAATTCAACCCAACGACAGAACATTTCCCCAGAATATCTGTAGTATTTCCCCAGAACTAGTGTCAATATCAAATCGATTGTGTTGTCTTTGGTCCTCCACGCGCGATAATACTTTACGTAAGTCTACTTTCCCTCTCATATCTAATCACAGATATGGCCTTCAATTTAACATTGCGAATAGTAATTTGCACCTTCTCCTGTGTATTCTACTTGCTGGTGATATAGCAACTAATCCTGGACCTGCCTGCAACTCAACATCATTACGATGCCTTTCCTTTAATGCTCAAAGCCTCGGAAGCCACAACTCTACTACAAGTAATTTAAAATCGTTTCAGGACCTTGTCTATGGTGAGAACTTAGATGTTATCACTATTACAGAAACTTGGTTAAATGATAAGATATTTGACAATGAGATTTTACCTAACGGTTACAATATAATCAGGAAGGATAGACCAGGAAAGAAACGAGGAGGAGGTGTATTGATCGCGCTAAGAGAGAATATTCCATATAACCTGATTGTATTACCGTCAAATGCTAAAGGAAACTGGCATGATCTTCTAGAAATTGTTGCAATCGAAATCCAGTTGAACAAAAATAGCAAAAAACCTCTTTTATGTGTCTGTTATGATGATAACAGACACATAAAAGAGCTTTTTTGCTATTTTTGTTCAACTGGATTTCGATTGCAACAAAAATAGTAAAAAAGCTCTTTTATGTGTCTGTTATCGATCTCAGAAGTATAAAACCGAATCTTGGTCTCAAATGTTTACTGAATTCTTACAAGACACCCAAAATTATGATCTGATTCTTATAACTGGTGATTTTAACTTCCCTGAACTGACTTGGAATTCCACTCTCGTAGCCTCAAGACCTGTTTCAGCTCACTCTATGGAATTTCGTGAACTAACTTTAGACTTCTTTTTGAAACAAACTAACACTCATTCTACACGTGGAGATAATATCCTAGACCTTGTGTTTTCAAGAACCCCTGAAGCCATAAAAGACTTGACTTGTATTTGCCCAAAAACCATGAACATATCTAGTGATCACGGTTTATTGATGTTCGACTTCCACTTAACCATGAGTTCATTTGGCTGTAACAAAAGAACTGTTTTCGATTTCAAACGTGCTGATTGGAATGGTCTACAGAACAAGCTACGCTTTTCAAATTTGTCTCCAACAGATCACTCAAATTTAGACCTTGACGCTGATTGGGAGAAATGGAAAAACACCTTCCTTAGTGCAGCCGCTGACCATATTCCACGTAAGTCACTCAAGAAAAACAGTTCTCCTCCCGGGTTCGACGGTGAAATTAAACACCTTATTAATAAGAAGGATTTTTGCAGAAAAAGGGCAAAACAGTCGCTGAATCCAAGTGCATGGGAAAAGTTTCGAACTCTAAGGCGTCAAGTCAAATCATTGTTGCATGACAAGCGTAAAGAATTCTTTCAAAATCTGCCTGATCTCTTGAAAACAAGTAGCAAAAAATTTTGGTCCGTTTTTAAGTCAGTCTCCAAACATTCGAACATACCAAACAAAATTTTTTGGTCTAAAGATCCTACAACGCATATTGCTGCTGACAACCCTGCGGACATTGCAAATGTATTCAACCGTTATTTTTTCTCAGTCTTTAACACTGCCCAATGCCACGATTCACATCGTCACCTCGACCAAGAAAACTATAATACCATTGACACACTTCAGGATATCGTTATTACGCCTGAGGATGTTTACGAATGTCTCTGCACACTAGATCAGAACAAAGCATCAGGACCTGACAGAATTCCAGCCACACTTTTGAGACACTGTGCTTCCAGTATCAGCTCGTCTCTTTCTGAGCTTTTCAATAAAACATTGTCTATTGGTAAGTTGCCAAAAGAATGGAAACTGTCCAACATTACGCCAATCCCAAAGAGCGGGTCCTCTAGCAATGTTACCAATTACCGACCTATTTCGCTTCTATCACTTGTATCCAAGGTACTTGAGAGATGTATCTACAATAGGCTTATTGAGCACATTGGAGAAAAATTACATCATCTGCAGTTTGGTTTCTTGAAGGGCAAGTCAACTACTAGTCAACTCCTGCAGGTGTTACACGACATTGGAAACAATCCAGACAACAAGTGTCAAGTAGACACACTGTACTTGGACTTTGCCAAGGCATTTGACAAAGTAAACTATGAACTGCTGCTTTTCAAATTGAAACGTTTTGGCATCTCCGGTAATCTCCTATCTTGGCTACGTGATTATCTTTCTGGTCGCTACCAGAGGGTAACGGTTCTCGGCGAGACCTCGAATCCATTACCTGTCCTATCTGGTGTGCCACAGGGATCGATACTCGGACCACTACTTTTCCTGGTTTATGTAAACGATCTTCCCGACTGTGTCTCAAGTTCTTCATCATTGGCAATGTTTGCGGATGACTCTAAATGTTATCAACCCATTAAATGTTATGAGGACGCCGAAGTCTTGCAGTCTGACATAAATGCTATTGACTCTTGGTGCAAGGAGTGGCAGATGTCTTTAAATCACTCTAAATGTGGTCTCCTTCGCATTACAAGAAATTCTCAACCGATCCATTACTCTTACAACGTGGGAGGCAACTTACTTAAAACAATCAACAAACAAAAAGATCTTGGTGTTATAGTCTCTAAAGATCTTAAATGGAGCCTCAACGTCCAAGCCGTCTCAAATAAGGCCAACAAAATGTTGGGGTTCGTAAAAAGATCGTGTTTTCATGCAAGTGACCCAAAAGTACGAAAGACCCTGTATTTAGCCCTAGTAAGAAGCCAGCTTGGTTACTGTAGCCAAGTGTGGGCACCCCAAACCACCCATGACATTCAAACCCTGGAACGAGTTCAGCGTCGCAGCACGAAGTTTATTTTATCTCTTCCATTTCAAACAGATATTTCATATCCTAAAAGACTCGCTAAACTCAACATTCTTCCAATTACCTACTGGCATGAATACCTGGATCTTGTTTATCTATTCAAATGTCTTTATGAAAATTCCGACAAAAATGTAAAACTACATTCACCAAATCGTGTAACCAGACGCTCTAGTGCCACATCAGGACTCCTTCTTCAGATTACCAAATCAAAAACAGTAACCTTTCAAAACAGTTTTTATATCAGAGCATGCAGAACGTGGAACACTCTACCAATATCTTTAAGAAACTTAACTTTATTGTCTTCGTTTAAACGTTGTCTATTTAATTACTATTTTTTATTAACTTCTATTGTTTATAACCCAGAATTGCCGCACACATACAAGACTGTTTGTGTCAAATGTCACAAAGCCCGTCCTTTGGATTCACTCAGTGACACTTTGTGCTGCTAGTGCCCTTTCTTTATATTATGTGATGACTTTTTGTTGTTTTTTGTTGTGATGCACTATTTAGTGTTTAACTCTTTGTATACAATATTTCTATGTATTTTACAACTCACGCGGGGAACCCGTTATTGGAGCTTCGGCTCTGTGGGTGCGCCCTTCCTGTTTTTGGGTAAATTAAATAAATAAATAAATAAATAAATAAATAAATGAAAGTTGGATTTCCCACCTTTTGCTTGCCATAAACTCGATAGAATGTGAGTTTCGATGTCGAAAGATACTTCATTACCAGTAATAGATAACCCCACACTATCAGGGCTCAAGAAAGCACACTTTTTAACACGCAAACTAGCAATAAGTATTAAAACACCAAGAGCAGTTCTCAGTGTTGGTAATTGGACCAAGAACAACAGGAAGGCAATCTTTTAAAACACTCATACTAACTTTTTCCGGTCCTAGTGGTATTTTGTTTGAAGGCATAGACATGATGATTCGTTTAATATCAGTTCACGAAACGGGCGACAAGTGAAACATTTCATGCGTGGTGTGTGCAGGTGATATTTCAGGAAAGTAGCTTGAAGTTGGTCCGTTAAGATATTAGCCCATAAAAACAATACAACATCTTTATGGAAAATTATCAATCGGAAAAAACAGCAAACGCTGCAGCTCAAGTGGCCCTGGATAATAATCCAGGGCCACTTGAGCTGCAGCGTTTGCAGTTTTTTCTCCAACAGCGATAAAAAATTGGTTGAATTCATTTGCAATCTGTTCCGAATCTTTACTATAACATTGAATTTTTCTTTCTTTGCTGGGAATGCAACGATTGATAATTTTCCATAAAGATGTTGCATTGTTTTTATGGGCTAATACTTCGCCGCGAACATATTCTTCCTCGGCGTTCTTTAGGGAAATTTTGACTGATTGTCTCGCGTTTTTATACGTTGTCCAATCTCCGACATCACGTGGATTTTTGAATTGCCTGTGAAGTTGATCCCTGCATGTGTGCCATCAAATCCTTTATATTTTGAGTGATATAGGGGCATGGACGATTACGAACTCTGATCGTCTTAACTGGTGCATGAGTTTGTAAGGTGGATAATAGAGCGTCGTTTAATATTGATAATTTTGAATTCACATCGCTTTCCGTAAAAATTGATTGTAAAAGTGTCTCGTGTTTGGAAACGAGGTCTGCTGTAAATAACATAGGGTTATAGTTTTTAAAACTACGCACAGTGATGTAACTTTGTGGTTGTTTAGGAAGTTTTAAGTTCAGTACCATGTAAACCGAAAAATGGTCACTTATGGAGGTTTCAATAACTCGATCCACTTTCCTGTACAAGATCCGAAGTCGAGGACATTACAACGTCTATTAATGATTCACTAGATTCAGTGATCCTAGTGGGTGAAGTAATCAATTGTTTGAGGTTCAATTCAGAAGCAAAATTCAGCAATGACAAACCGTCAGGATTTTGTTGTAAAAGATTGCAATTTAAATCACCTAGAATTATAACAGGCTTGTTGAGCGATAAGGCGTAGGTCGAAGAAGGCTTTTAAAAATCCTCAAAACAGGAAACATGACAGTCAGGACGTCTATAAACAGCACAGATTACGAATGATCTAATCTTTTTAATATTGAACTTGTAACCAAAGTTGTTGAAACCAGGTTGTTGATGTACCGGACAAGTCTTTCAATATTTGTGCCTTTAACGGGCTATACGAATGTACGCGTCACCTGTATGTGAATATAACAGCTTAATACGTCACATTTGACCGATTAATTTGTAGGATTTGTTATGTTCACTTGTGCAAAAATACTAATTACACTGACCTGAAAGGCCAAGTGTCTTAAATGCCTAATTTTCTGTTTTCTTCTGTTTTCTTCGTCGTCGAGAAATCGAGTTTGCGTTCGCACATCGCAGGCTCAGGGTGCAACGATTATGCCAAAATGCCATCGATTCCTTCAATTCCACATTTCTGTATTGTAGTGACAAGCTCGTATTTATGTACGTAATAGCCGGCTCATGCCATGCTTGTGGTACATTTTTCGTTTATTAGCCCATATATAGACTTGTACGCACGCGCACAATTCCAACAACACATTTAACAACAATAGATTAATTTCGTTTTTTTATACACCCTGTAGTCTTGGAAAGGCATCAGGAACAGCTAACCAAGTTTGGGTGACTGCCAACTCTCGTACACTCTCATCCTCGTTTGATCCGGCTTTACTGCATGCATCACTCGCCATTTCGAAATATCATGTATAATTATTTAATGTTTTTTGTTTTTCTTTATAGCAGGAAGCAAAGATCTACATTACTATGATCACTTTTGAATAGATACATTTGGGGATATATTTTGTTATACTTTTAAGATAAAACAAAACAATAAAGAATAAAATGCTGACGTTTCGTTATTACATCACAACATCTTCAGAACATTCAATAAAGAGTAGAAAACGAGTCACGTGCGTTTATGGTGTGATCATGCACGATCGGAATACTGCAAGAATACGAGAGAATCATGTAAACTGCCCTTCCCCCTCAAACAAAAAATAATAATAAACAACTTTTGAAAACCATGGCAATTCGGGCAAATGCTCGGAAAAGTCAAGAAAAATTCGGGCACATTTATGTCATTACAATCCTCCATAAAATTGTTTCCACCGCAGAAAACATCAGCCCCGTATACCTATGTCATTGCTTTTCTTTTCTTTTCAAGGTAGCTTCAAAATTCCTTTTTAGTTCAGCGACAATTCTCCAGACCCCTATCTTCTTTACAAAACACTTACCTGCTGGGGTGGGGGAACAGGGATGAAAGTGGTGCGAACGAAGCCCTCCGAAAGAATTATTAGAGCAGGTAGGAGAACTCAATGTACTTACCTGTCTCTAATGCAAACTAATTATATATTGAAAACTCATAATTTCCAGGTATACATGGTTTGAAACATTTGCTAATATTTTGCACTCATCTTATTATTTTAGTTTGAAAATAGTGTGAAATAGAAACTAAGAAATAATGTTCAATGATGCTGCTTCAGGTTGGTCCGTTGGTGTTTCTTAATCTTTTATAAGCGGCTTTTACTGTCATTCTACGCCCAGCTATAGCGGCTATAAATCCTTTAATTAACTAAGTCAATTTGCTTCGTTCTTCGCTGATCTAAAGGAAAGAAAAAGCAATAATTGAGAAACCGAAACGAATATTTTTTGAGAATAAAGCGATTTGAGTGTGAGAATTTTCGATTCGAAGTGCCGTGCCGTCGTATCGACGATCGGGAATCGTTAGCCTTTATCATGTTTCATGTATACTAGTAACATCGAGTACAAAGTCTCGGAAAATATTAG